AAAATAATGATCTGTATAATTACGTCTTCAAACTGTATGTCGGTACAGTTTGCATAAACCGAGCAATCAAAAGTAAACGGTCCTTTTGAACCACATCTCCATCGTGGGGTATAATTTGAAAATATAGAAAAGATCATCTGTGATCCAAAAAATATGCTGAATTGCCATGTTATCAAGACAAAAAGATGAAATCGGTTAATTTCAAAGAACATTTTTTGGTTACTGTTTAAGCAGTCAAAACTTCTGCCGGATGTGTTGCCTGTCTAAGATCCTGAAATTAATAGTCTCGAACAGAATGTATAAGCATAAGTAAAAAAAAAACCTTCCGATTAAAAGTCAAAATATAACTGTTTATTATTATCGATTTGTTTATAATAAATGGAACAGCAATAACTTTTTTTTTTTTTAAACTTTATCAACATATTCTCAATCAGCAAACAATCAATTAACAAATTTTAAAATATGACAAATTGAAAACTTGTTGTCTACTGAATATTTTTTTCATTCAGAGCTACGCTGTTCATAACTGTTCAATAAAATACTTTAGAAACTAGCAAGTTAGTTAGTAAGATAAGCCGTAGCCTCCAAATGGCAGAACGAAGAAAAAAGCATAGCATAAAATTGTTCAAATTTCATATTTTTTTTTTTTTTAATCTCAAATATTACTGAGTAATAAGATATTTATTTAATGCAATAATACAGAGTAACCAATACTGTTTCTGCACTTATAATTCATCTAATTTTTACGCTGTTACAGAATAACAAAGTTATTTAATTGCTAAAAAAGATGAGACTATTTTTCAACGTCTTCTTTGCTCTTCTCTTAATAATCTTTAAATTTTCTTCTTTAGTCTTTTCATTTTTTTTTTTTTTTTTGTGTTCATCAATTTGTCTTTTTGTTTTCTAAACAAAATATTTTTTGTTTTTCAACTGAAATTCTTTTCAGTAAAATTTTACTCAAACTAAAATACAACAGTAACTGATTGCTACCAATGAGAACAAGAAGAATAGTTGTAAATCTGTTTTATAACACGTGTACTTATACACGTTTATTTCAGCATATCTAAATTTTAAATCTACAGGTATATATATATATATATATATATATAT